GTTTAGGTCCCAAAAGCGAAAGGCGAAACGTTTTAAGGGGTGGCACTTGGATCGGCTCAGTAGGCCTGGGGCCAGGCACTGGGAGCCAAGATCCAAGGTCTCCCCAATTCACCCCCCTCTTGTTCCGATGCCCAGTGGTTGCCGCTCCCCTCCTGGCCCAGCCCGAGGGTGCGCTGCAGGGCCCACGCCTACGCTCTCTGCAACTTCCCAGAGCCCGCGCCCCGCAGGGCCAGTACCTGCTGGTTCCAAAAAAACAGATTAAGTTTAGCAAAAATCAAACCACCCGTGGAAAGGCGGGAGGATAGTCTCCAAGGATGGCGTGTGTGTGTGTGTGTGTGTGTGTGTGTGTGTGTGTGTGTATGTGTTGTTTGCCAGAGTCTTCTCTCTGTGGTCGTCCAGAAGGGTGGTCCGGTGGCCTTGCCATAGGCGGGCTACCTAAGGCAGCTGGAGCAGCGGCGACCTGAGCTGGGTCCACGTGTGCGAGGGGCGCCTGGAACTCTCTCTCTCCAGCCAGGAGAAGAGCCGCGGCGAAGTAGCCCCGGGGACACTGCAGTTGCCTTGGGTGCCTCTAGTCTCGAGCACTTTGCGCCCAGCGACGACTGCCACCGAGTCAACCCCCTGCATCCGTTGCTTGCTGGGACCCTGGTGTGTCCTCGGGAAATCCCAGGCCCCGCAGGACCTAAGCTGCTAGCAACTGACAGTTCGGATCAGCGCTCCCTTCTGTTTCTGATCTCTCTTCCCAAACATGAGGCTAAAATGGAAAAGGATTGCACCCATCACCCCAACGAGTGCGGTGACATGTGCGACCCGGGCGCGTGTAATGTTTGCAGTAGAAATAAAAGCCTCTCCCAGAACAAGTACTCGAATCTTCAAAAACAGGGTTTGAAACAATCTGCAAACCCATTTTATACCCCTAAAATCTTTGCAGCAGCCTGTCCGTTGACACCTTTCTTGCATCCATAATGAATGAATGAAATTTAAATGAACTACCTGCAGCCACTAAACAATCCGGCCTTTTCCTATATCTGCCATATGCTCTTCAACTCCAAGTGCAAAAACATCTCAATGCATCCAGCAATTAGGCTGCTACTCCCTCGCCGACACTCGGGGCATCAAGCCAAACACCTGGTGGGTTCCCCGGGTCTGGTGGAACCGTTCTATCCTTGGCTGAAAACGTGCCTTTTTTTTTATTTTAATTTTTAAATTTCTCCCCCAAAGAGAAATACATCCCCATGCAACTTGCAAAAAAAAAAAAAAAAAGAAAGAAAGAAAGAAAGAAAGAAAGAAAAGAAAAGGAAAGAAAGAAAAGAAAAGAAAAAAGAGTCTGGGCATGCTTCCCACCGTGCCGGTGCACTTCTCTCAGTTTTCCATTCATCCGTCTCCAGAGTGGCTTCTGCCACCAAGGTACGGATTGACAACCCCGCAAACGATCTGGGACGGAAT